TATACAATATTAACAAAGATACATGATCAGCAGGCTCCGAATGTAAACGGTAGCTTTATCACATTTGCGATGTTTGTAAAATAATAACTGCAGATAAGTCTCTGTCCAGGCTGAAGTTTAAAATGGCTGCTCTCCTTTCCTGCACTTAGCTGGATTATATTCTCTGTTGGTAAATTACTCCCTTTGGAGAGAGAAATTAACCCAGATTTCCATATCAAAGCATTATGAATTGAGCCATTTTCCCTGCCCTCCCGTTCTGCTGAAAAGAGAGAGTGGAAGGAGTCTGTAGAAGTAGCCTGCAGTGATATGCAGGCCGTACAGGGCTCCTTTCTTACAGGAGCAACACTCTAACAGAGAGAATCAGCAGCTTTCTACTGAAGCGAAGAATGAGATCACTGGGCTTTTTGTGCAAGGTCAACTTCGAGGCAAGACACATCGTGTTTAAAATTCAGTCCTATCCTCACCGAGCACTTGAAACACACTGTGCCAGCCGGGGAACCTGCTTGCCATTATGCAAAGAGGCGGCGGGCTTAAAGTAAATACGTAATCTTAATGAATGCTGAGATCTGTGGAGGTGGGAGTGGGGGGAGCCCAAGTCAAGTAGAGAAGGGTCAGAAACACAGGGTGAATAATCCCGTGTGTCAACAAGACACAACTAGCTCTCTCTATCCCAATATGTAGCCATGTTTACAGTAAACAGAATTCTAAAGTTTTTTGACATCTGACATTGTTGTTCTATCACAAAATATGCAGGAGACTCCAGAAAGAATCTCATTATTTTTTTTAAATGTAAGAAAGTTGTTTAATACCTTGTCTTATTTACAGACTGAAAAAAAAAAAGAATTCTAATTACTGATTGAGATAGGAGAGGTTTTATGATAAATCAACAGATGCTAATGGATACTAACAACGGAAGGTAATTATATTTCTAGCTGCAAACAATAGGCTATTTAACATATGATTTTAGACTATTAAACATTAAAACAATTAAACATTATGTCAACTTCTGCTATTAAAGAGCTTGCTTACATTTGCTTATTTGTCTCATACATTGTGACCTATGTCATTGGCCCCAACTTGTCTCAGATGCATAAATTTAAAACAAAAGGACAGCCATTAGATGACATGTCACACAATATAGGGGTCTTGTTCTGGCCCCGTGCCTGCTGGCTGTGTCCTTTGCTTTGCCCACTTTGCGCTGCGAGACTGCCAGGACATTGAGCCTGACACATCAGAACTGCTGCTCTCTTGGTGCCCTCTTTCATTCGCACTATCACAGAGTCAAAGCCTGCAGAGACGAAGCTGTCCAGAGACTGAGCCCTGCTGGGTTTGACTGGGCCAAGATCCGATCAAGCCTCGAGGAGAGGGTCATCCTCTTCCCTGACTTCTACTTGCTATGATCTCTGAACCGATTCTAAAAGGCCTCTGACTTGATTTGAGCAGACAGTCCCCCTTGAAAGCAGCCTTTGGTTTGGCTTCTGTAGCCTGGAACGGGAAGAGCAGGGTCAGGCTACACACAGGCAGGAGAAAGCTCAAGCAAAGGCAGTGTGAGGAGGGGGGAAAAAAAACAGAGCTGATAGCCATGCTCCAGGTGCAGATGGCACACTGTTTTATGTGTGGCCTCAATGGATTATGTCAGCCAAGCTACTGGAGGCATATAATATGGAGAGATCACACAAAAACATTGTCAACCAAAATTCAAAGATTCATTAACAAAGGTCATCACCATGACAGCAAATGCCTAATAGATGGCCAAGACTCTTGAAGTCACCATGAGGATAAGAGCACGCTGGATAAAGAAGTCTTGAAATGAGGGCAGGAATTGTTATTTTACAATCTCACAAAAGGTTTGTACAGTAAATCATTTAGCATTCATACAGAATTTAAATAACAAATGCTTTCAAAGCCTCGCATTACAGTGGAAAGTAGGATTTGCGATACACATAAACCTTCTAAACAAAATTAATAAAAGAGAGCACTTTAAATAAAATGGCACTTACTGTATGAACTAAGTCAGAATATTTTATTCAAGGGTCCAATTATTCGCTAAGTAATACGCCTTACTTCTGCGCATTGTGAAGATATGATCAAGGCGGACACTGCCCCTAAGGAGCCGAGGCTGCAGCAACCCTGAAAACCAATAATGGTCAGAGGTCAGAAAAGGGGAAGCAAAGATCCAAGTCCCATCCTATTGTGTGACATGTTTCCTTCGCCTGCTCGCCCCAAAGGCTTAGTGTCAGTGTTAACACTTCAAACACTCAATATCTTCACAAAACACAAAGGACACAACTGCTTGCCATCCACATCATTTCTTCCAGGAACAGAGATATGGATCCTTCCCAAAGGTCACTGCCAGCTGAAGTTTCAATGATTAAGGACAGCTTTGTTGTTTGACTTTTTTCCTGTAGCACAATCTACTTTTAGGTGCAAATTGAGTAGTTTGTTCCATATTAGAAAATAAAATTGGATCATGTTTTATATGTCAACTTTAAATTGTAATGGGTGGCCATATTTGTTGGATAGCAATTTTATAATTTAAAGGTGTATATTCAGTTAGATAACAGAGCACAGATTGTCTTTTTTAACCATAATGTATATCTATAAAAGTAATATTACTGTTGCTTGCCAAAAAGAATAATCTGCAGCAATGATGCAAACAGTGATAGTGTATAAGTATGCAGAGGGCAGTGTGAGTGGGTGACTATAACACACCTACATATGTTCCTTACTATAACATTTTTTCTAGTATAAGGGTGATAGCTTCCTCTGATACTTTCCCTGTCCTGCCACTCTTGAACCCATGAATACTCTGCCTGCAAGCTACGCTGCCACTGAAGCTACTTCAACAGCACGCTCCTGAATCAGTCAAAAGACAGCATTGTTACCAGACAACTGAGTCCACTGTCTACTCTGTTACACATTTATGGAATCATGCACCAGAACACAGACAATGTCGTTGGCTAATCTCACAAGACCGGGATCCAATTTCAAGCAGGCACGGGTGATTCAAGAATCAATCTGGTTAGCTTCCTGTTTTTAGCCTGCTGCTGTTATACTCTGGGTGTAACTCAAAGGGATCTCCAGTTTCCCTGGAATGTGTTCCTGCTCCTGAGGTGGTGATAAAACACCTTATTTTATGGGTCGCTGATTACTCACTGTACCCTGATGTGTGTGTGTGTGTGTGTGCTGATACCAATCTTAGTGAGCACAAAACTAGAGAACTCTCCATATTTACAGTATCCTCCAATTTTGCATTTTTCTTTCCCATTCTCCCGTACAACCACACACATAAAAAAAATAAATAAAGAAAGATCCGCGGCAGATAAATATATAATTGTTTGTTCAAGTGTGTTTTGCACAGTATGAGACCTTCCGATTGCTGCACCAAGTAGAATGCACTGCAGGCAGTCTCTTGAGGGAAGGTCTCATTTTCTGCCTCCCGCCGTGAAATATTCAGTCCGGCCTGAAATAATATGGGACTCGTTTCAAGGCTTAGCACTTTTCAAATATGCTGGCAATAATGGACAGGGCATCAAATGAAGCACAGCCTCTCCAAGCAAGGGGAGCAGAGGTTTTGAATCCACAGCCAGGGTTTCACATAACACCAGAGACAGTTGAAGTGCAGTCTACATATACAGTGTAGTGATTAGTTATTGGTGGGATGAGCCTGTGAATCCATGCCAGCATTGATTTAGTCATACTGTACGAGGTCTGTTTGGTTGGGGAATATATAATACAAATTCACATTGCAATATTATTTCTAAATACCTTAGTTGGATACTGCAGAGTGCCAAATTATATTTCCATATTTCCCTGCTTTATGCATATCACCAGGGAATCTGAATTCCATTCAGTCTGAAAAAGAAAAGAGAGGAAAATCAAGGGTGCACCATAAATGCACAGAGATGGAGTGCAGAAGAATGTTATAGAGGGGGCTTTGGTGAAAGGATTCAAGGATTTAACAATCCCACATCCTCTCAGCCTGTCCTTCATCTCTAATAATCAAGCTTGGCCACAGAATATCCCTCTGGATGGGAAAAAAACATGTTGCCTGTCCGCCTCTCACTCATCTTTAGACTGCCAGTCTTGGGTCTTCCTCTTGAAGTCTTCTGTCACATTTATGGCTTCAAACACTAAGCACAGCCTTTTTTAACTGACTGCCATGTCTTTAAAGCTAGATATCTTTTTTGTACTACATTAGCATGAGATGAAGGGCAGTGTGTCTGATGCAAAGGAAGCCCCGAGAAGGCTGGACCACAGACACTATGAACTTGTTTGTTGCCGTACACCAAAGGCCACCAAAACAAGCTAACTGGTTTCGGCTCAGGTGAAGTAGAATGTGTAAGTCCGTGGTATCCCTGCATATTCATGAGTGCACATGTAGACAAAGCAAGTGCTTGAATTTGAGAGTGAAGTCACATTTAGATTGGTTCTCCAGAAATGGTGCATGCATAAAGGTCTAATTGTTATAATTTGGAGACACATAATATTCACAAACATTATAGAGCACACCAAAGTTTGGAAAAGCTTGTGTTGGTGTGCGAGGGCATGCTCTTATCTGCTCTCTTTTACAAGTGAGGACACCCAGGGACATGTCAGCATAATTATCTATAGTTGATTATCTAAAAAAGCTAATAAACATAAAACTTCTGCAATCAGCATCACATAATTGTACATTAAAACAGTTAATATTAGGCAGACCCCTATAGACTATCTGTCTATCTATCTATCTATCTACCTATCTATCTATCTATCTATCTATGTTTTTCGATGACATGCTTAACAAAAGTGTTTTCCTTTGTGCGCTCTAACAATCCAACTTCAAAAGTCTTGACTCAAAAATAGATAAATAAATAACTAGATATATTATTTTAAAAAAAATATATAAAAGAAAAAAGCAAAAAAAAGTTCAGGTTTGCAAACTTGAAAAAGAGTTTGTGTATTTCTTGCATGCCCGGAAGGTTGGCTGCCGTGAGAGCTACAGAGGCAGGAGAGGAAGAAGGAGCTCCTGAAACCGGAGTGTCCACTGAGCGGCGCCGCAGCCCGCAACTTGCACCAGCAGAGCCAGCCGGCGTTTCCTCCCTTGCAACACGCTGCAGGGCCAATCCGCTCGCACACCCCGTGTAGGGTTACAATGACAAGGGCCCTGTCTGAACCACGACTTTTAGAAAGATAATATTACAGGTAGGTGCAAGCCACGGACCGTGTCACTATCGATAGACAAATTAAGCATTGAAAAACAAGACCGTGACCCAGAAATTCTCGCTTTAATCGGGTCACCGTGCTCGTTTTCAGCACTGAGAGATAATGGCACCTCTCACTGTCCTTAGCATTTGAAGTCCCCTTACCGCAACCTGTAGCTTTTGGGGCAGTGAAAATTGTCCAGCTGGACGCCTTGTATTTTCCCCTATTGGTGCCTTTGTATGTTTTGAGCCATGTACACCTGCCTGCTGATAGCTTTCAACGTTTTTTTTTTTTTTTCAAAACCTAGTTGAAGGTCAGTTCTCTCCTCTAATGAGCTGCTGTGAGGATTTCTGTCTGCAGAGCTCCAACCAAGGATGCAGATAAATGTGCACAGCCTTAATTCACTTGTAACTCTAATGCAAGTTAAGTGAAAGTGTTAAGAAACAAGAATGGACTCGTTTTCTGCAAATTCAATCACTTTATTTTGTTTATATCGGTGCCTGTTTTCCCTATCAGCCCCACTAGCCATATTATATTCAAGGTTTACCTTTTTAAAACACTGATGTGCAGAATTGACCACATCTCTCTAACCCTCTTGTCAGCTCTGCAACATGCTGGAGGACTCCACTGGTTGGAGTCAAGTGAAAAGCCTCAGTAAAAGAAGGGTAAATCTCTTGTTTTTATGTTGCACATGGGGGAAACAGCCTGAAAAGTCCAAGTAGGCTCGTCGGGCGTCGAAAGAAACGCCGAGATGTAAGCTGAAATTTCTCTGAAATAGGCCGAACAGAGAGTCTTTTGCTCCTACAGGGTTTTGTTCAGGGTTCCACAGAGAAAGCCCGATGCAAAGTGGGCCTACAGCCAACTGGGATGGATTCTAGGGTGGAACCTAAACAGATGGGAAATAGTATAAAGGTGAACGCAAGGTCAATCTGAGCTTCAGTGATAAAGCTGTGGGCACTGCTCATAGCAGTGTTTTAAAAGTTGACTTAAGAAAACAGATTGTGTGGTCAGAGTAAACTCTTAAGACCATATTGGGCCTTTTTTTTCCAGGCTCCTTTTGTCTAGATTGCCACAGGCGGAAGCAGCAGACACCAAATGGTCAAAAAATTGTTATCATTATGTTTGTCTGGAAAATCAGCAGAATGGGGGTGTTGATTTCCAGCGGGTGGGTTTTCCTTTGTCCCTTTTTTTTTTTTTTTTTTTTTTTTTTTTGTTCTAACCCAGATTTTCATGTTTAACAGGCCCACAGCTGATCCATCTCCCAGTGCACAATTGAGACAGAGGAGGTTAAAGCACTCTGAACGCACGGGACCATATTGCAGGTAATTAATATGTCAGCTCAATGATGAACTTCGTCAATACATCTATCACCACACTTACTTGTAACTGGAGTAGCTCGTGGGATGCTGCCGAGAGCGCAGACTGGGAGTACATTTGTCCATTAGTAAACACTTCATAGTGTGTGTTGTGATTGGGGAGGTAGCGGGGCTCCTCTCTGTCCAGTTGCAGTCATTTTCGCCCGTCACCTCCTCATCGCTGTAAAAACACTTGCTGTGGTTCGGTAGATTAACAGAGAGCCCCCTAATGGAGTAATTACACCGAGCCAAACATCTATTTTTCACCTGTGCTCTGCCATTATTCTCTGTCCCCTATCCACTCCATTGGAAGTCACTTACTCTCCTTACAATGAGTTATCATTGACTGCCATTTAGACGTTCTGGAGCAATTTGTCTTACTGAGGCCACGCGCTGGCCTCATTGCAAAGAACAATCATTCTCCCTCCAATATATAAAACATTCATGGGGAAAAGGAAGAGAAAATGCCCCACAAACAGATAGTAGAGAGTGGCTAATAGATACTATAAAGGTGACAGACAAGGAAAATAATGTAGGAGATTACTGGAGCGGGAACAAGCCAGCACAACCAGTACAAAAGCTTCAGGGACTGTACTGCTGGAAAAAAAATCCTTCACAAGACAAATGTGTTAAATGGGTAGTATGGCAGCTATTGCTGGTGGTAATTGCTGTTGTTGCAAACAAACTAAGTCTCAATTTAAATTTAAATTCTAAATCTTTATTTTGCCATTGTAATTTACAGTTTTTCTTTCATTTGTCATATTTGGTAAATGTTTAGCCATTCTTGTGCAATATTCAGCTCCAATTTGTTCTCTCTTTTTGATGGTTTCTTCTTTGAATGAATGCTTTTTACTGATTGACTTGACTTAAAGTCCTTGATATTCCACCGCTGTTTTTCCAAGCTTTATATAAATTTTTCCTATGTAGTATGTAAAAAGGACACCTTTTTATCTCCTGGCTTGTAGGTCACTGTCATTTCACCCAGTTGCAGTCTGGTTCAGCACCAAACTATTGGGAATAATATGGAAAATATTTCATTAAAGTTTGAATTAACAGACAGTATGTGCAAGGTTAGAGTTCCCCTTTTGCGAGAGCTCCTTTTTAACATCTACTACCTTTCATTTAGCATAGTTTTTGTCTTACACACAACAGCATAGCTGCTGCTAGAGTATTTAACTATGAACCAGTGTCACACAGCTCTTGAGAAGGCAAGCATTCCTTTTTAGACAGTGGCTTCACTGCTGTGCACAGTCCAGCGCACGTCCCCACTCAGTCCCAGCAGACAGGGTTAATCACATTCGTAACTGAGTGTTTTGTTAGATTAGTCTCTCTCACTGCTTAACACAATGACAAATAACCATTATTCTTTTTCTTGCACTGATAATCGGGACAACTTAAACATTTCTTACTAGCACAAGTGAAACCATTAATCCTCAGCGATACTGCTGATAAGTGGTGACTTTGGAGTAATGGCCCTGTCACCTTTTAAAAAAAAAAAAAAAAAAGACGAGGGAAAATTTGAACAATTAAAACAAGATACCCATTATATTTTGTGCATCCCATCGCTTTGTGTCATCAGGAGGGATCTGACAGTGGTAATGGACTAAATAATGGAATGGAGTTTTTAGTTGATTATTACGGATTTCATTGAAGATGTCCTCAAGACAAAAATGACCAGTTTAAATACTTAAATGATAGGTACAGTTCCTTATGTATTATTTCTATGTCTATGTTAGTTGATTAATGGATTGACAGGAAATTAATCTGCAACAATTTTGATAACACGCTAACCTGAACCAGTTTTCAAGCAAAAACTCCAAAAATTTATTGGTTTCAGCTTCTCAAAAAAGAGAATTTGCTGCATTTCCTTGTCTTTATTTTTCAGTTAATTGAATATCATCAGGGTTTGGGTTGTTGGTCGGACAAAACACAACACTTTATGACATCGCCTTGGACTTGGACTAGGAAGTTGTGATTGTTCATTGTTTCCTGCTGTTTTATAAACCAAACGGTTAAATATTGAAAATAATAATTAGCTTTCCCTCCTATCTGCGACAATTTGGCCCCATGAATCTTCTGATAAGTCGTGTTTTTTTGCAGCTGGAGATGCTCGATTGCTTCATAAACAAAGAGGCAGTAAACATAAACAGCAAGAGAAGGCATTAAAGGTAAGTGCTGGAATGCATAAAAAAACACAGCTGAAAGCCTTGATACAATGGTGAGTAGTAAACAGTAGTGTGTCTGATACTTCACTAATCTTAATAGAAATATAGGACAGCAGAGATTCCATTGTATCCTGACAGTGATATTATTATCTTTAACAAAAGAATGATATACTATTGGAGTTAGAGCTGTGCTCTCCCAAACATACTGCACCTTTATGTCCTTCAGTTGTATTTACAGACAGTCCAACTTGACTACAGTGTGTGTCGTTGTTGTGATGCACCGGTTACATTGTGTAGCTCGCACTGCACCCTTTGAATACCCTTTGATGTGGGCTGGAAACATGTCAATAACTGTTTAAATATGAGCTAACTACAAGTGCTGAGAGGAAATATTCAAAGACTTCACATAGGCTAATTGAAATTCTCCCAATTTAATCGACTTCACCATCATATGTTCTATTTGTCATTATGGCTGTCTGCAGCACTAATCAGTTGTTAATGTAGCTTCCTAGAGGTGTTACACTATAACTGACAGGATGAAAATAAACACGCATAATTGAGTTCTTGATTGATTATGATTTGAGATTATTTTCCCATTTTCATTTAACGACTTCAGCTATCTTGACATTAAGAAAAAAGCCGTATTAATCGCACTGTACATTTGGTCAGGTTACATTGTTAGCCTTATTGTCAATTTGGTAATAATAACTTTGAACGCAGTTGGATTCTCTCTTACTTAATGGATTTATTATTAGAATAAGACGAAAACATGCCTACTTAATTGCTTGAGGCTGCTCAAGACGGGCAAATCTGTTCGTGTTTGAGTTTGAATCATTTTTGTTCTTGTTTGTTTCATCAAGCACACTGACTAAAACAGGACACTTGCTGAGAGTCAAAGTAGAACTAATTAGCCAGTTGAATATTTCCAGTTACCACATATCATCCTTTTAAAACAGATGGTGAAGAAAGATACTTTTACCACCTCATTTAGTCTTCATATGTCATCAGTTTTTAATACATTTTAGAAAAGGTTCACCCAAAGATTTAGTTATAAATGACAAGAAATTGAAACATCTGAACAACTATAGATTAGACTCTTGTACTTCTGTGCCTTTCTTGTTTTAGAAGACTCATACAGTACAACTTGCTTTAGAAATGTTAAGGTAGTGTTTGTGCCGATGAGTGCTGAGGAAGTATTTGGCTCCATAAGAAGAAACGGTGGCAAAAAACAACCTTAAATTGTCCTGGATGTTGGTCATTGGTTGGAACCCTGACTTTACACTGTTCTCATACTTCCCAGTTTCTTACTATACCATTATTTTGATCTATCAGTGTCTCATCCTACATGCCAAACTCTCAATTCGTTGGCAACAACTCAGTCCCAGGCACTTGATACTTAGTATTTCTATGGCCGTAGCTCTGTTTTGATCAAAGGGGTTCAGGGGCCTAAGTTTCAAATCCCCCAAAGCCCATTTTGGCTACTCTTTGTTTAGCCCATTGGCATTCTGACCCCATGCTTCTCAGACTTTGAACTCAAAGCTTGGAAAAGCCGTATCGCTTCTTTAAACACATTATCAGTGGGCTAGGTTTTAAGAATATCACTAATCATCTTAAGGTTTTAGTGCAGTGTGGCAGGAGCGTTCAAGCCTCGGGGCCCATTTACTGGCATGGCCACTGTAAGAAATGTTCTGTGAAATATACGATAACTCGATGGCAGCAAGTGTTTTGGAAGTCGATGCATTTCGTATAGGGGCAACTTAAATCTACACTTGTGCAGCAATTCACTCTAAAAATGAAATTGTTTAAGTGTACAACTTAATTTTGGGGTCATACCAGGGTGGGAGCAGTTTTGTGGAAAATATGGTACTTGAAAACAGTGTGATGTTTCTGATATCAGTTGGGTTGTGGCGTGACTGCTTGTAGCATCCTCCGTGTTGCATCTGAATACAGACAGCCTGGTATTTATTTACCTTCAGTTCACTTATGCAGCTCTGCCGATTTAACTGACTTTGTGTGTCAGGGTAAAACTTGCTCCTCCACATCGGAGAACTTGACTCTACATTTAATTTAAGCTGTTAATGCTACAGTTTAATAAATAATTTATATGTACTGTCAAGAAATTGGCATTAACTGCATACGTTTTGAAAGGGTGATAGAGCTCATACATATTATACAAGGATTATACAAAGTGGAAATATGAAGGAGTCAGATTTCTATGGAACCTGCTTGCTGCTGCTAAGCGCTGCATATTTTTGCTGGCTCATTTTCTGTATTTATAGTTTACTGTTTGTCTGAATGGAAGCAATACGTATGTAGATTGTATTTTTGTCTCAGTGCTAGTAATTGTTGGCCATTTTTTACAGCAGCAACCCATAACAGTTGGCACCTAACAACAAGCCTGAACTTTGACAATGTTTTATTTCATTATTCAAATGCACTATATGTTATATTATTTTATACATAATCTCGTAACTAAATAGTGTCAGTTACATTGACTATGTTTGTTCAGTTGTTGAAAAACAAAAACGGACCAATTAGGTATGTTTCTGTACAACTTGTGCACTATCTGCATGAACAATTGTCATATGCATCTGCTTCGTCCTATTGAACACAATACACTACCTGCAGTGCAACATGTAATAGTTGTTGATGATGCTGATAAAAATATGATTTAAACATTATAAAAATGTCTTATAAACACACAGGACCATCTCTTTGTGCCCTGTCTTGAGAATGAATGTGATTGCATACAACTCTGTTTGTGCCCCTCTGCTCCTCTCACACCTCCTCAATCTCATCAGCCCCCATGCTAAAGATTTGGCACCTTGAATTACATTGTCTTCATCTGGAAATATTTCAGCTGCAATTCTGCCACTCTAAAGGGAGATGAAGATAAAGGAGAAGAAGGTAAAAACACACCCTGTTGTGTGAATCCTAGAGAAGGCCTTGAACCCTGCCATTCATCCCTTTCACTTCATCAGCTGAGTCTAATTGCCAGAGAGGACAGGATACCCAGGGCCCAATTGTTCCTTATCCTCTTTGGAGCCTCTGAGGCATGAAAAGCGAAAGGCCTGCTTTTGATCTTTTTTTTTTTTTGTTAGTTTTTTTTTTCTTTTTTTCTGTCATCCCCTACTATCCTTTCCCTTAGAGTGAGACACTCCTTTCACACTGTGCCCCCTTCTTCAACCACGCAAAATAATTATCAAGCTCTGCTTCATCAAATAATGGTAGATATTGGAGGTCATGATGGGGAGGGCCAGAGGTCTGCAGGGGTGGCCTTAGGACGTGGTGGAGCTCCCAGCTCATCTTAGAGGCATGCTCCTTAGCTGTGGCTACCTTTATATACCTTGACCCCGGTTTTCGTTTGTCTGTCCTAATGAGACCCTCTCATGCAGCCAATGCAATAGAGGTCTTGCAATGGCAGGGTTGGGAGGCCAAAGTACAATGAGACGCAGGGCTGTGCTCAGACAAGGGCGCATCTGTGCTATCTTATTAAGCCTTGGAAAAGAGCTCATGCGTCTCAACGTCCCATAGGCGCTGAGAGCAGATCTATTGACACCTACTTGTCCTTTGCGGTCAACACCTTTCTGTGAAGAAGCAGGCACACCCAAGTTCTTGTTAGAAGTAATTCTTGGCAGAGTATTTAGCGAGGCAAAGTGCTTAACTCGGTTTGGGTGGCCATGTGGCGTAAGGATAAAGAATGCAGCTTTGTAATGATGAAAAATTCCTTGGAACTGGAGACATGACAAGGGATGTCAAAGACCAATTTGTCGAAAGCAAACAGTCCTCATATTTAAAGCATGAAGGGCACCAAAGTCTCTCTTAATGCTTAATTCCTCACTTGATTTTTTTATAAGTTCAAAGGCATGCTTTAGGTTATTGTTAATCATCACTTTTTAGACATTTTTTATTCAGAGCATTTTTTTGTTTGTGTTTTTGCCCTCAGTAATAGACTTGGCCATTATCCATGCCCAGAAATTTGTCAAAATTCGAAAGAGTAAAATGCAAGTTAAACCCCCTGCTGATTTAAGAAGGGAAAAAAAAATCCCCGCGTAAGAAACAATGAGACCAAAGATAGCCAACCTAACCACCTATCTAACTTGATAACAAAAGGGACAGCAGGATATACTATAAGTAGAGCAAAATGACAAACAAAAACACAAGTAGGCAAACAAAAACCTTTAAGCAATCATGTTAAGCACGCCTAACATCTGAGCACTGTGCGAGAACAAAGCAGGGCTCCTGTCAGAGCATCGATCCACTCCTGAAGGCACACACATCCATAGCTCTCTGATTGCTCCCTGCCTCTCGCGCCTCTCTCCCCCGCGCCTCTAACTATCTCTGCTCTGGCTCCTTTCTGAGAATGTGCTTATCGATCTGGCCTACTTCGTTGGAGTTAACTCACTGATAAAACCTGACCAAGGGCTTCCAATGGCCTGGAAGAGTTTGGAGAGCTGGTGAGAAGGCAAAGATGATAAGAAAACAAAGAAGTGGTCGCTAAAATCACTAAAATATTTTGTCGTAATGTTGAGTTAGTCAACTGTTGAGTTTATTAAATGTGCAGACACTAGTTTTGACATTTTAATGTTGTTGTGTATGGCAATGTAATGAGGTTTTCACTGTGTAGGCAACTTGGAAGAAGCTAAAATGATGCTGAACTTAAAAAAACTAGCACTTATCTGATTTGCACCACAGACAGCTTTACAGCTCTTAAGCAGGTAATAATCTGCTTATTCTGAGAGTGCTGTAAAACCTCAATGATTTTGGGACTTTTGGGACCTAATTAAGAAAAATTGAATACATTTTAAAATGGCATGTTTCGGATTGTAGTCCTAACTATAGGCAAATTTAATGCACTATTTGAAATTGTTGATCTGATTTTTATTGTCTTTTTGTTCACTCACTTGATATTTGTCTTTCTACACATGGTTTTCTTGGTGCTTGATTTTTAAGAACCCATCTTGACATGAGTGTGGCATCTCCAGAAGTGGTAACCCCA